GACCTGAGGACCGGAGCGCCCACAAGCTTGTAAATAGCGTGTGCGTGCTCCCCTAACCTGATATGGTCCTCTGCTCCCGCCATATCTGCCTCTCCCACTGACCGTACTAATTCCTCCCTCCTCCTTCAACCCCCCACCCTCTCCCCCCACCCTTTCTCCATCGCTACCCCCAGACATGGCTGGTCCTGACCTAAGGGGAGCCTCCCCCCTCCCATCCACCCTGGTTCCCCCTAAAAATTTATTAAAACACCCCTGTAAAAACGTTCTCCACTTAGATAATTTAAATAATTTTTTGTCCGTGACCACTGCATGCCACCTCTCAGGGTTCCACACCCCATCCTCGAGGTAGGCCCTCGAGATGTTCCTGGGCCAGGCCTGCGCGAGGGGTGAGTCGCGCAGGGCCAGCAGGGCCGTCTTATTGACCAATGATTTACACAATAAAAACAGGATTGAAGTGAGGGGTCCTTGCTTGGTTGTTTTCTCGCAGACGTTTCATGACCCAATTAGGTAATATCATCAGTGCTAGAAGAGAATGGGGTTTGTGGGGAGGAGGAGGAGGAGGAGGAGGAGGAGGAGGAGGAGGAGGAAAAGAACTATTGGGCCCTTGGTGCTCTCTGAGCTTGGTTGTTTTCTTGCAGATGTTTCATGATCCAAACTAATTAACCTCATCCTGGCATCACTTTATCCCATCCTCCCTTAACCTGGTGATTCCTCCAGGTGCATTCCCACCCTCGCCCTCCCTGGTCCCTACAAATTTGGCTTTTAACATCTTGCAAGATCTGTTTTCCCAAGACAATCTGAGAATTTAATGCCAAACATTTGTCCTATGGGGTACAAACTGCCTTCTTATGTAGCTCGCCTTCCTGGAGCGCAGTGTTTCCCCAGTATGTTGTGCTCCTGTTAAGGAATGGAGAGGGAGTACCAGTTGGCTTTTAAACTACTTATTTCTAAAAGTTTGTCTGAGCCTCAGTGATTTGATTTTTCTCTCTCTCTCTGCTAAGGGTCTTGACGTGGCCCCCGTGTACGATGACGTCTCGGAGTTCCCGGTTTACGCCACGGTGAGCAAGCCGAAGAACATGAAGCTCAATGAAAGCAGCGTACATTACGCCGATATCCAGGTCTTCACGAAGAGCCGCGAACGTTCAGCTGAGGAGGTGAAAAACCTCCAGTCGCAGAATGCAACGGAATACGCTACCCTGAATTTCCCCCGAGCCCCCCTGAAATATGACAACAAGAACGGGACTCTGGTATAAGTGCCGAAGATGCCGTTCTGGAAGAAAATAGACATCAGACACTGCAGGTGCTCAGTTGGTTCAAAAAAAAAATCGCTATCTGGGTCAGGTCAGAATGGACTCGTGGGAATAAGATATTTTTTTCTTGGGTCTGTCGAGAAAATGAGCCCTTTGGGCAATGGAATAAGTGATGTTTCTGAGGAAAAATGGCTTCATGGATCGTGTTACCAAGCAAGGGGGCAAACTGGAGGACGAAGCCCAGCTGATATGTGGAATAAGCAACATAAAGCTTTGCAAGATTTTTAAAAACCTCCAAGCAATCATTGCAGGATGCCTTTAGATCAAGAGAGCTTGGTTTTGATATAAGGGGGGGGGGAAAGCACACTACAGAAACCTTTTGAGGGGTCTTCATTTGAACACTCAATCCCAGTTGCAGCAATTCCTGGGGCAAAGGATCTGTGAAACTTTTGCGGGTGCTGGGAAATTTTCTTCCAAGAAATTGGTACGAATTTTCTTTGTCTGAGTAACAAGTGGGTGATTCCTTCGGCAGCTCAGCTCGTGGAAAAAAAAAAAGAATTATCCCTTTTCTCCTATGGCAGCACCAAACTGAAATAGCAAGCTGACTCCAGATGACCCAGCATCACTGCAGAATGACCGATGAGATTTTCGACAAGAAAGGATCCCCAAGGCAAGTTCCATGCAGTGGAATGGATCCAGGAAAAAAACCAATTACGCCGTAAAACTAATGCAGGTTCCTCACATTCTAAAATTTAGCCTATTTTCAAGGAAAAGAGGATCAGGGTACCCTGCTGCCTTCTGGGAGTGTGTATCCTTGGAAAGAAATGTTTTGGAAAAGGGGCGGGTGAGGACTTTGGCAAAAAGGGGTGAGCTCTTCACTTGTCATCTTTCTACATGGCAAGATCCTTGACCTATCATTCTGTAAAGCAGTGATTCTCAGCCTTGGCCATTTTAAGATGGATGGACTTCAACTCCCAGAATTCTCCAGCCAGTGTGGATCAGACAACAGAATAACAATAATAGAGTTGAAAGAGATCTTGGAGGTCATCTAGTCCAACCCCCTGCTCAAGCAGGAGATCCTATACCATTTCAGACAAATGGCTGTCCAATCTCTTCTTGAAAACCTCCAGTGATGGAGCACCCACAACTTCTGGAGGCGAGTCGTTCCACCGATTAATTGTCCTCACTGTCAGGAAATTCCTCCTTAGTTCTGGGTTGCTTCTGTCCTTGTTTGGTTTCCATCCATTGCTTCTTGTCCTACCAACAATGATGGTGGTGAAAAGAGAGGTCAGCAGAGAAGGATGACCATTGAAGAGTCTGACACAAGGGGTAATCCTGTGGGTCATCATGCTTACAAAAAGTCATGGGAATCTTTTGGATCACTCCATCCCTTGCTAAGCCAAAGAAGGGTCAACTCAATACTCCCAACTCCTCTAGAGCCGTGGGACTACAACTCTCCAATATTTGGAGGACATTCAAATGGAGAAGGATAGCCCAATGGGTATAATAGACTCCCAAATGGACTTGCAATGTCGGAAGAGTAAAACAGCCTAAAGAAATAACCCCTGGCTCTTTTGCTTTGCTGTTGGATACACACTATTGTTGAACTTCAAAATATTGTCACAAATAAGTTGGTCTGTCAAGTTTGTTTATCTGTTTGTTTTCACAGCTAGTGAAACTAGGAATGGAAGGTGTGAAATTTGTTTTTCAGATCCAACACTGGATTCTGTTGAATAAGTAGGGATTGGAGATACATCTGTCTGCTTGCTGTGGAAAGTATAGGAAGAAAAGCTTCTTTTATCTGCAGCTACTCTGCAGAATTTTTAGCTTAGTTTACACTTTGGCTATAGAGGTACAATATATTTAACAGCTAACCCAATGCTTTGTGAAGAAGCACAAATAAATTGCCCTAAATAACAGAGAAATTAGCTTTTTTTTTAAACAAGCACTAAATAGAAGATATGTGATCCCCAATTTTGTTCTAAAAAGAGCTTCCCCAATAATTTATGTTTATTATTTGCACTGAATTTTATCAATCACCAAGATACATTTTCTGTGCTTCCGAATCCTATTTATATTTATTGAACTGGATTAGAAATTGGGGTGGGATCTCTCAATGTTTGACCAGCTCAAATATTATTTTAAAATGATTACAGCGCTAGTCCTCAAGGCAGCGGAAAGAATCTAAAAGATATTGTAAAGCATTTTTTTAAAATTTCTAAACTGTATTTATGACTTTAAAAGGTTTTCTCAGGATTTTGAATATTGAGATTCACAATGACAAGACAATAATTATATTTAATTTAAAAATAATTTGGTAAACACTGACAGCATTTTAGTGCAATATAAATGAAATATTGGAGAAGACAGTATTTGCACAGAGGCTGAAGTATGAGGACACTCCCAACTTAAAATAAACTGGGCAATAAAATAAATATCAGTTATTTTAATGTTCAGTTGATGCAGTTATGGTTGGGCATGAACACTGGCATAAGCCATCAGCCATTCAAAAATAGAGCTCCAGGGTGAACGTTTGGAAGCGTCACAACTAAATATGAGAATATTGCATGCTCTTTTTTAAGCATTAAATCCCACTTTAAGGTACCAGTTGTTTTCAAGCTAATTTATGCAACACTTTTACCGAAACAGCACAAAAATGTCCTTTTATAAAGAGTTGGCACCTGTAAACCCTATGAATTCTATGTGAATGCAAGCAGGCTGATCACCTTGTTAATCTGAGCTTCGGAGATGTAACCTTGCAATAATTATCCTTCAATATCAGGGTTAATTTTTAGCCAGTCTCACTGATATGTTATGAATTGCTTAGAGTATTTCAGCCTGAACAGATCTCATTCTGCCCTTCTAAAGTCCACAAGAACGTATGTGGGTGAAATGTGTCTCTAGAACTTCAGAAGGAAGTTTTTGTTTTGTTTTATTTTGGCCGCTTGTTTTTGCTGGTGTTTACTTTCACACACGTTTTTCATAATGAACAATTCTTGATGTGAGCACAGGCTGTTTTCTCTTGCAAATAATTGGAGTAACTGGACAGTTTCCGTTGGCAAAATTGTAATAAAATGGAGCAGTTACTCTGTTAAACATTATATGAAGGAAATGGATTATGGGATCCTTTTCAGCAGCCGTCAAGCTGGAAAGTATTAAAATCTGCGTATCCCCTTTTTCTAATGATCAATATTTGTACGATGAATAGTTTAATAACCTTAGAAGTCCTACTAAGAGGAAAGTTTTCTGGAAAGTAAGTCTGTGTCTTGAAAGGTCTGTTTTCTTCCTCCTTTTGGTGTTTAGAGAATTATTGGAGATAGTTAATAATTTCCTGGCTCCTGGTTCATGAGTTGCACCTTTTATTACAGAAGAATAAATATTTTTTATAGTTAACCCTGGAGGCTGTGCTGATTTTATTGTGGGAAAAAAATCATCCTTCCCCTGGGTTTCATTTTTTCTTCTTTCTTTTCTTTCTTTCTTTTTCTTTTTCTTTCTTTCCTCTCTCCCTCCTTTCCTCCCTCCCTCCCTCCTTCCTCTCCCTCCTTCCTTCCTTTTCTTTCTTTCTTTCTTTCTTTCTTTCTTTCTCTTTCTTTTTCTTTTTCTTTCTTTCTTTTCCTCCCTCCCTCCCTTCCCTCCCTCTCCTTCCCTCCCTCCCTCCCTCCCTCCCTCTCTCTTTCTCTTTTTCTTGTCTTATCATCAAGATGGATTGCCAATTGGATGAACCCCTTCTGACCTGTCTTTTACCAGCTGCAATGCATTGATGGTAATAATGCCAAAAGTGGACGTGAAAATGGGCCACCGCCACAACCTGGCCAGGTCTTTGTGGACCCAGGTCAGCAAGTTGTTCTGTCCATCCCCTGGGTGGGCTTTGTGCCCCAAGGACAGGTACACGCATCAAATGCTCCATCTGTTTATATATTAAGGTACAACAACTGAGCCCAAGTGAGACATTCGTTAAGTGAATTTTACCCCGTTTTACGACCTTCCTTGCCATAGTTAAGTCAATCACTGCAGTTAAGTTGGTAATGAGTTTGTTAAGTGAATCTGGCTTCCCCTTTGATTTTGCTTGTCAGAAGGGGATCACGTGACCCCGGGACCCTCACTGTCATAAGTATGAGTCAGTTGCCAAGCGTCTGAGTTTTGATCACATGGTCATGAGGATGCTAGAAAGGTCGTAAGTGTGAAAACGGTCACAAGTCCCTTTTTTCAGTGCCGTTGTAACTCTGAATGGTCACTAAATAAACTTGCAAGTTGGGGACTACCTGTATTCATCCCATGCAAGGAATACAGTTGTAAGAATTGGGTGGTGCGGCAGATTTCCACGCTGCCCACCCCACTCTCCAAAGCGACCCCGGGCAGTTTGCAATGCAATAGAAATACAAAAAGAAAAAAGGTCCAAACGAGCACAATTTGAATGACAGCAACGCAGACGGAAAATGGAGCCCTTGAGCCAGTTTGGGTTGTGCGTTTTGCTTTTGGCAATAGAATGGAATAGAGCTGGAAGGGACCTTGGAGGTCTTCTAGTCCAACCCCCTGCTCAAGCAGGAGACCTTATGCCCTTTCAGACAAGTGGAGGTCCAGTCTCTCCTTAAAAATCTCCAGTGATGGAGCGCCCACGATTTCTGGAGGCAAGCTGTTCCACTGGTTAATTGTCTTCACTACCAGGAAGTTTCTCCTTAATTCCAGGTTGCTTCTCTCTTTGATCAGTTTCCAACCATAGTTTCTTGTCCTGCCCTCTGGTGCTTTGGAGAATAATGTGACCCCCCTCCTCTTTGTGTTAGCCCCCCCCCCCCAATACCAGAATACTGCTATCATGTCACTCCTGTTTCTTCTTTTCTCTAGGCTGGCCATTCCCAAATCCTGCAGCCGTTCTTCATATGTTTTATTCTCCAGGCCTTTGATCCTCTTAGTTGCTCTTCTCTGCCCTTTTTCCAAAGTCTCAGCATCTTTTTTATAGTATGGTGACCAAAATTGTTTGCAGTCTTCCAGGTGTGGCCTTACTAAGGCTTTATAAAGCGGTACTAATCCTTTGCGCTCCAGCAACCAGCCTCTTAGCCCATCATTGCTGCAAAAAG